TGTCTTCATCACAACAGGACACAGACATAAATCCACAGGCTTGACTAAGCAAGTCTGCGTGCTTTCAACTTTGGCTTCTCAGATCCACAACCAGAAGCCCCAGAGCAGCCACGGTTCCAGCTGAACCATGCACTCGGCGCCTCTGAAAGTCTCTTCTTTTTAATCAGCAGCTTAAGTATGGATTTCGTAGCTAAACTTCTGGCATCTGGATCTGGACAGTCTGCAAACCAACGGACTGGAATCTGTTGCAGGGAGTCCATCCAGGGAGGTAAGCTGTGGGTGTGCCCAGACCTCAGTCTGTATCTGTGCCTGCGTCACAGCACTTTTTAGCTTGCTGGAACTCCAGAGTCACCCTTCTTCCTCACTTGAGGGACATAAATGGTGCTGCTGGACAGTCAATGGGGCTTTCTCTTTCTTTTACACAGCCTGGTAGTCCAGTCAGTGAACGTGTAGCACAGTGGCGAACAAGATCCCAGCTCTTAGGGCCTGATGCCCTGTCTGTTGGATGGCCTTGGCATCCAGGTGTGCTTTTTGCTTTCTAACTGATTTTGCCTTCTGGCAACACGCTCTCCTTGACCCTGTTATAGTGACTTGATATATAATATATATACATAAAATATATATATATATAAAAAAAAATATGGTGACAACCAGGGAGGTTGGAACCAGATGATCTTTGAGGTCCCTTCCAACCCTAACCATTCCATGATTCTATGACTCCCCTCAGAAAGGGTAGAATGAATAAGCAAACGTCTGCTGGACATTTCATACCAGTTCTCTAAAAGGAACCCAAATTTCAAATATTATCAGCAGATTGATAAACTGTAGATACATTGCCCTTGTGCCTTCAACCTCCAGAGCTAAGGGATGCGGCCTGTGGTACATACGTGTTTATCCAAAAGGATTGATGTGGTAATTTAAGTGATCTACAAGCTCCTTTCCAGTGAGGATAGCCCATTGCAGCCTCCAGAATGGTTGAGAGGGAAGTGGGGTCAAATGCCTCTACTGTACCACCCCTGTCCGTTCTGTGCCCGCTTGTCACCTGCAAGGAGAGCGCGTTCCGCTGGGAGGGCTTGCCCACCAGCCCCTGTTCTTTACGTTTCTTGAACTTCCGGAAATACTCCTGAATCAGGAAAGTGGCGTAGAACTTCCCGACAGTCACCTCGTCATCTGCAAAGGGGTATTAAAAAAAAAAAAAAAATTAAATAAGCAACTGATTTAAAACAGTATATTTGCTAACGTGAGCCTTGCAATTCACAGCAGAAACACTAGGTACCGCAGTACGCCTCTACTTTTTATGGCATCAGGATGCAGAGTAGAAGGAAGGGATAGCTCCACAGCCAGAACTTGCTGTAAGTAGTCAGGAGGAGAGGTGCTTGTAGCAATTGGATAGACTGGCTCTGCTGGCAGAGCACCCCAATAACTACGCACCTCTGGATGCACGTTGTTTGTGGTGAAGTGCCTCTAACCTTTGCAGCCTCTGGTATTGGTTTATCACACAGGACCCTGCTATAGCAGCAGCCTCCCAGTCTGGATCAACACATGCTGCTCTGTCTCGTGATAGCCAGGAGTAATGCATACTCAGAGTCTGGCTTCACCAACAGCACCTGACTGACCATCCATCTCAGACCTAGACCTTCTCTGCATTGAAATTCTGCCTGGTTGTGCCTAGAATGGGTGCGAGCGAACCAAAACGATCACCTCTCCCCAGAAATGCAGTCATTGCTCTGTTCTCACTCAATACAAACTGTTCACGAGCCAAAATGTACACTCAGTTTTTATCCACATAAAACATACCCAAGGGAAATGTTGTAAGACATGGCCCACTGACTTCAGAGCAGGCTGAGCAAGGTTCAGGATCTGGCTGCAACTGTTAACTAAGTACCAAGCACTGTTTTGTGCTGTAGCCCCTGGAGCCACCTGGAAGGCCAGTGAAGGCCACACTGGATGCCCATGCACGTGGGGTCCCAAGAAGCCTAGCAAAGGAGTTGCTCAGAAGCCTGACAATAACAGCCTACCAGGAACCTGTACAGAAACCCACAGCACTCTGTTACACCAGTTCAGACTGGCTGAGGAATGTCCCCAGGTACGTGAGTCTTTGACAGGTGCCATAGTAGAAAGCAGTTACGTGAGTAAAAAAAGAGTTCTACGCCATAGTAAAGGTAGTTTTGCTAAATAGGAAGGGGTTACGAGGTGGGGCTGCATCCTTAACTTGAGCGTAAGGCCATCTCTCTTACACAGTCAGATAAAGTCCACAGCATCCTCCCTGGAGCTCCTTAGCTCTGCCTGCTTCCTCTGCCCCCAGGAGGCACCGGGCAATGTCCAGGGGAGCGAATGCATTTGATCAAACTGGGGCAAGATCTAGGAATAAAGGTTTCTGACTCCTGTTTGTACATCTTTTCTTCCTTCCCTGATTTCTCAGCAGTAAGGACATGTTACTCATGTTAGTACAGGCAGAAACAGATCTCAGCCCGATGAAACATAGGTAGCAGCTTGTAGAAGAAAGCTTGTCCCCCATATTCCGCCTGAGGATCTCAAGGTGCAGTAGGACATGTCAGGTGGGGAAAAAGACAGGTTCGGACACTGGGACAAGATCCTGCACTCACCACCCGCAGGGGGCACCACCTGGTCCAGCAGCTTCATACTGGTGCGCTTCCAGATTTTCTTAATTATTGCTCTCAGCTCTTCGTTGGCTTGCTCCAGGTTACCTGCAGGGTGAAAAACATCAGAGACAGGAATTAAGCAGACCCTGCAGAGGAGCAATTTCACGTCTGGCATGGCAATCTTAGGAAAATATCAGAGCTTTTTCAGCAGTGGAAAGTTTTGGGCAGAGAGGTGCTCTGACCATTGCTAAAGTCCCCTCACAGCAAGAGGTCTTCTTCCTAAATATGCAGAGTCATCTCAGGGTGGGAAGGTGACTGTGTTACTTATTGATAGGCTGCAACAGTCAGAAACAACAGAACCATGGTGCTACTTCATCCTGAAAAACAACAATCTCATCTAACACTTCAAATTTTAATTGAGTGAAAGTTGAATGTGATGAGGACAGAGGTCAGTTCATGGAAAACTACAGCTTGGGAAGAAAAAGAATTGGTCATAAAGATGCATCTAGAAATCTGAAGACCTGATCCTGTTTGCAGCACTTCCCAAGAATTACCTGTTGCAATCCCTGGCTCCAGGCAGATATCAGGTTCTTCACATGGTGCCAAGAGTCTGCCTTGGAGAGCCTGCCCAGTGCTCTGCCAAGGCACTCTAGGCATGTGCCACTCGGAGAACTGTCCCAGGGTATTTATGTTTATTCTTTGATGAACATTACATGTTCCCCCAAGGGGCTCTGAGCTAAATGACACGTGAATCAAGCCACACTACCACTTGAGAGTGAGTCAAACCAGTTTATATCCTTTACTTCTAGGCACCCATTTCCTGCCAAACAACTCACCTTCTGCTTTATTTCTTCATTTATGCACACTCAAACCCCTTATAACTGAAGCTCTCTTTTCTCACTATGTGTACTAAACCACTGTCTTCTCCTCCTAAAGGTGCTGTTCCTGCAGCTTTTCTTATTTCTCTTCAGCAGTGAGGCTCCTGAACGTGCTGCACGGGGCTTGGCATGCCGGTAGCTCTCGTGATAGGATGCAGTGAAGACAGGGACACTAAGTAACTTGCTGAGGATGAAACGGGTGGCAGAAATCTGACTCAGGAGGGCTAGTGCCAAACTCCTGCCCTAACCACTTACAAGATCCTGCTAAGGCAAGAAAGAAAGCAGCTTGAGGCTCTAGGTGGTTTCCCAGGAGTTCACTGGCAATGTCTCCAAGAGTTTGAGGCTAAGACAGACAAAATTGAGTCCTTTCTGGGTCTCTGTTTCTTAAGACACAAGATGTCCTACAGGAGTTGCAGTTGGCTTTTTCCTCAGGAGAGCCTCTTTGGCTAGAGTCAAATTCTGTTTAGCACAACATCCAAGACCTCCATATAATTTCTGAATTTTACCACTTTTTTTTTTTTTGGTCTCAGCTGTCAGTATAATCCTGGCACAGTAAGCTCGAGTTCTTCTGATCTCTGCTTTCCCATGCCTGGAATGTAACGCAGCCACTCCTGAGGCAGAGGTGGTTCTCTGTGAATCACAGACCTACACACTCCTTTGGAGCATCTCATTAATACATGACGGCAGGTTTTGACTCAGGACCAGTATCTTTCATTACAGCAGGTGACAGAGTGCAACAATGGGGACAAGCTGAGCCCGAAATCTCGTCTGCTTTCCCCAACTATACCTGCTGGTCTGTGCAAAGCTACTAACAGTCCCTTTGCTTCTCATCTGTCTTTAGGCCTACACCACCCCTGTCACTACAACGTGATGTTAACTCATGCTAATGGAAGCACAGGAGGAGTTTTAATGAGATGAGACCCTCGAGTCCGAGCTCTTTTGCCTTCCTTAGATTGGAAGATCAGTGGCATCAGCAGTCAGAAAGCGGCCCAGCTCTGCAGCCAGTTTGCACAAGGGAAGGCTTCTTTGCCCTTCTTCCTTCCCCTGATTGCTGTTTGAGCAGATGATCTGAAACTTTTAACTTTTGAGACCATTGTAAAGAACGTGATCAATAACCTGAGGTGACAGCATGGGAAGCACCAGCTTTCTAGGTAACTGGAAACACTGTTCTCTCCCTAGAAGATATTATCCCCCCAAACACCTTTACACTGCTTTTTGTACCATGTGCTGCATATGAGTAACTGGGATCACTGTACACAAGACGTCCTTACGGTTGTATTCCAGCTCAGCACACTTCTTACCTTCTGTCTTGATCCTCAGTGCTGTTCTGACCAACGCAAAGAGAGTGGCATTGAACATGACAGTCCCATCACTGTTCAGTGGCATGTTCATGGAGACAAGGCGCTGTGGAGTAAGGAGAAGAAAGAGAACAATCATACCGCTAATGCATGGACTGAAGGGTGCTCTTCCTTATGCCCTCAGCATGCCCTCCAGACCTGCCATCCCTCTTTTTTGAGGGTTCATGGCCTGTGGATTTAGTTACACAATTATGAAAGTACTTGTCATATCCACCGATGGTCCCAACCATGGCATGTTTGCCCTGGGGTCTCCCTCCCATTGCTAGAGACTCTGCTTTCTTCAATGTGGCTATCGCTTCGGTTTCCTCAGTGGCCAGTGGGCACTCGCCCACAGTGTATTAAATGGACAGAGATTTCTTCCAGTCTCCAAACCATTTGGCTTTTAAATGACACCTTTTTTTCTTATCAGGAGCAAACTGATTTCTTCATACTTCATGAGGCACTTGCAAACTTGCCTGCACTGAAGCTGTGCCTGGTGTAAATGTATGTAAACAGAGAGCCAGAATCTTTCTTTTAGGTGACAGGCTTGAAGAAAGGGGATTAGTCGAATCTGAAAGCTGGTCTGCTTTATCCAAATATTTGCCCTCTCTCTTTTAAAACAAGGCTGTGTCTGTCCCCCAGTAATTCTGTAAAGCCATGTAGGACAGAGAGTGGGTGCTGAGTACTGTTGCAGCTGCAGGATGAACTTCAGCAAGACCGCGCGACGACATAGAATCATAGAATGGTTTGGGTTGGA